ACAACTACATTCATTATATCAGATACTGACTGTTGAGATTTTCTTAGTATTTTCATAACAATATCAATAATTATAATGCATTGTAGAGAATATCTCTAACCATAATAGGGACTTTATGACAGCAAATTGAATGCCAAGCCTCAAGCTGAGATTTCCCATCGCTGAAAATGTTGATCCAATCAAAATATAGTTTATAGTAGGTAGTTAGAAAGTTGTAACCAGTCGGTTAACGCTTAACAATTATTTATTGAAGCAGTTTCCAAACAGTAAAGCACTGGCTGTGAAAAGCGAGGCTGTAGCTAACGAGAAGAAAGCTCTTGTTGACAGATTACCTATAAAAGATGATAAGAAAATTACGAAAACCCGAGCGAAGGTTGAGAGACGAAGAAAAATACATTTTCTTCATTGGTCCAATTAAGCTCGTGAACTCATAACTCCAAACAATAACAAACGAAACCTTCAATCATCAATATCCATCCAAAGAGGACACACGAGCTAACATCAAAAACACAGATGATAACATCGATGGGTAAACACAGACACATTACATATCAAAATTGTAGGTACCACAAAATAATGAGTCACCGATCATTGAAAAAATCGAGGCTCTGCAAACATATGTTCTGTATAATTAACCAAAATATAGTTCAGACGAACATATGACTCAAGATATAAGAGCAAGGTCCCAAGCGATACACAAAGGCCTTGGTTAACACATGACAGATTCTAATGTACCAACAAATGATCAACATCTTCATAGGGATTTCTTATCCATACAATCAGATTGTACAACCATTGTTTCTTGGATTGATCATAAAATCCCTACAGCACAACTATTCTTGTATTTATAAATACCAAGCAAATAAATCTATTAACAGAAACTGTCTTGTCGCGGAAGACTTATCAATGAACAAGTGCCTACTGCACAGTTTCTAGGAATAGAACGGACGGAACTACTGAATTATATTTAATGCAGTTAACGGTTGTGATAGATATTGAAATGTTTAAGCACGATTTCATAACTTGGGGCTTCGTAAATATTAGCGTGTGGTTACCAAAGCATGGCTAAATTAAGATACTACGAGTGCACATAGCTTGTCACTCGCACTAGGAGCGGAGATACGAACATTTATGTAACGAGGTTCGTGAAAGCCGACCAATCGCGTTCGAACACGCCGCCGTGCGCGTCGTAAACTCGGCACATACAAACAACAAGTCATGTGAGCGCACCGCGTCCAGGCGCCGCCATCGCGAGCTCGACCATGACCTTCACCTGTGCATGTCGATGAATCGCTGTAAACGCAATTACTATGTACACAAACCAAACACTAATAAGAGTACAAAGGACTATAAATAAAACACGAGAAAAAATAAAAGATCCCGTCCGCTGTCGTTACGGTGCAATTTGCACAGTGTACTGAACGGAAGTTTAAATCTCCAGACGATGAGACCAATGATGTTATGGCAGTTTTTCAATTTGCAAATACAGTCATCATTTCAAGAACATTATGAGGAAAGCATAGATCCAAATGTTTGTGAATGGCAAATGACAAATCAAGGTCTTTCAACTTATACTGAGGAGATTTATAGAGATGATAACTTATGGTAATGATGTAAACTTGTTGAGGGCAAAACTTGATAGTACTAATTATTATGCTTGGAAATCTGCGATGACGGAGATGAATATAATTCTAATAGAGAGGTCTCTACCTCAAAGAGTTGAGGCTTCCGCGTTGAATGTAAACGCTTCCGTGATGCAACAAGATACCTAGATAAGTTCTTGCGGAGCTAGTGATTGTGAAAGTTGCCTCTCGGTAAATGTCTTTAAACGTGTTAATACATGTGGCATTAATTGAAACGGACGCAGAACTGACATTCTCCACTAACGGCAAGGTCGTCTAGACATGACCGATCAAGGTCGTACTCTCAAAACAAGACAAACTTTAAATCTAAATATACATGGAACGAGAGCAAACAATGCTTCAAAGTGTTCTGTATGATTGCATTATCGGGTGTATGTTTTGGCATTTTAATGTGTGTAGTTTATTTTGAAAATCCTTTGTGGTGCCAAAACTTTCTTTTTGAAATTTCAAACACAACGTGATAAGTTTCTAATGTCCTGTCTAGTCCAACAATTTATGTCATCTATTTTTGTCAGAATTGGTTACCTATTTGGAAGTACATGGTGAACATACATGAAGTCAACAAAAATGATTTCAATGTTATTCTACTAAACAAATACATTAAGGAGTTCTATGACATCAATGCTATTTTGTTATGAATGTATGAGGTACATTCTCCTTTTCCTCCTGATAGATACACTACACTAGTATACTACAACATAGATTTATATCTATGGAAAATTTATTGGTTTGGATGCATCGGGAGAGAAAGTCAACTTGGCAGACACAAAGATCACAAGCGAAATGCAAATTCACTACATAGGTACCTACATACTGAAATGGAAATAAGTCACGTGAAGCTTGATAAAGGTCGGGTTATACACGTCTTGGCACTGGTACTTATGCAGTTTAATAACAAAGTCTCATGAATATAGAAAGATCATGCTAGAGCTGGTTGATGGCACGGATCGAAGAATAACAAAAAAGCTTCACAGATCATTAAACAACTTAATAGATGTTAAAGCTAAAGAGAAAGATGGTAATAAAAATCCCTGAATTGAAGCACGCGATGCATTCGTGGCGACCACGACCTAAAAACAATGATAAAACGATGAACTTTACGATTATAGTAATTAATAGACCATCATCACAAGGCGATACATAAGTATCTATGACTTTAAATTACTCTTGCACTTATAAAACGCAAGTAGTTGACGCCACGAGGAATTAACATAAATAAAAATCTTATAATTCCAAAACTGTAAAATTCTTTATCAAGTGCTCAAAAGCCTTTAAAATACCTATTATCTATATCAGCGATTAAAATAATAATAATCGCAAGCTTAATTAGGGCACACATGGACGAAATGATAAAAAAGATTACTTTCCCCAAATACTTGGTATACATAATTTCTTTCATAATCTAATCTAAGCGAACTACTAAATACGAAAGTATAACTAATGTTTGGAAAGATACGAGATAACTGGAATGAAACAATAACAATGAAATAACTTTGCCATCATAATAATAAAAAACTTTTAATCGAAGCATGTGAATGTAACGAAATGAAAATTCTTTATAAAAGCGGTGAGATTTTTCGACATACCACATGACAGAAAGTGGGTGCGTTGGACGGTGGTAACGATTTTCTCAGAACACAGCTGAGACGTGGTTGTGGACTTGCGCACTAGGCTTTACATCCACGTGGATACTATAAAATCATTGCTGGATAAAATCCTAACATTTCTAATACATAGATGTCACAAAATCGTTTTACTGAAGTGTGTGGGAAGATATACTGATTATAAACTGCCTGGTTTTCAGCAAGTAATATTTTAAACGATTTGGCACATTTAGCCGGCCATTAATGGCTAAAAACCTCAAGGAAAATAAACTCATATTAGAAAGTGAAATAAATATAAATAAAACTAATTAAACACCCAGAAATATGAGAATGATGCTGAAAGTCTAAAATATAGTTGCAATGTCATGTATCTCTTCGCCAGACATGCGCAGAACGAAGGGTAGTGCCACGTGGCAATCTCCCGTTGCATAACCTTTTCCTATATTGCGGCTATATCTCATTCAATCTCTAATTAAATAAACACTTCGGAAAATTTTCCTACGAAATTCCAATAAGAAGACATCATTATTCGGAAATCAATTAAGATTTTCTGGAGTAATACTACCGAAAATGTCTTGTCTAAGATTTCTATCAATAAATATTCTCAGAAAATAATTGTCTTGCGGATTATTCGCTTTGGACAGCACATCATAAAGTGTCATTTTAATCGTATCTATTCTAATTAAGTTAATTAAAATGTTTCGCGTGTCATGCATAATTAGCATATCGTCGTTTATTACGGGTAAATGAACCTAAGTTTGTTTAGCGTCTTTACAATAAGTGAGAACCACATCTAAATATTTCACACGTTTGTTTTTTTGTGCGAGAGTTGTTTTAGCTAACCAGGGACTTAAAGGATTCTTATAGCTTTTAAACCTACATGAATTAAGTTGTACTAGAAAATCAGCAAACGGATAATGTCCCCGCTGTCACTACACTACCCTATTAGTACCTTAGTAGTACTATGGCATGTTGCAGCCACGTTGCACGTTATGACTGTGCGCACACATGCACAAATTTAAGACACACAGGTGCATGTTCTGCAGAATGACTGCGGAATTCGCCCGCCATTTTAAACAGTTACAATTACAAATTGCATGCGATTGTAATTTTTTTCAGAATGTATAGGTTTTAAAATTCCAGAAGATAAAAAGAATTTTATAATGCCTAAATCAGAGTAATTAAAGTTAAAAGAATCTCGACATTGGCTGGATTGTATCGAGGTTCGTGCGATTCATTCAGTGGTGCGAAATGATTAGCCAACGTTTTCTTGAGCTAGTGACCTCGGACGAAATCGTACTTTGAATTTGAACAAAGCAATAATATAAATATTCTTGATGGATTAGGAATCTCATTGCAAAACACTTGCACTTGAAAACATATGTCAAGCCATTACAATATGTTTACATACAACGTATCAAAATAATTGTTTTACTCGCCTTCTTTTTGTGAAGCTATTTTTCCAGACTACAACAATGTCGTACACATAGTCAGAAAGCGAAAACCCGCCATAATGTAACGTGGACGCCACGAGTACCTACGCCATGCTGCGACGCAACCAATTGTCCAACATACAATCATTAAAAGAAGAATTTCTGAATATATCAGACACAATATTTACACTCTCGCTTTACCGCCACACGGACAGTTGTAAATCCTGACGTAATTTCCGTAAGCACCATATTATTATGAAGCCATGTGCCGAACACGTCGGCGCGCTACGGCTTGCCATATTAGAAATTCCAATGCGGACCTTAAAAAACTCTTAGTTTCCTGTGACACTTTACAATATAATCCATTTATATTTGTCAAAGACTTCGCAGAACCACAAATAAGCGAACTGGGTGTTGATAAGAACGCGGATTTGCAGTATATCCATATTACGGTAGAAGGATAGCGAGGTCGCATAGAGTATGCGACGGACGCGCGCGGCAGCTGCGGGGCAACTAAGGCGCGACGACGGGTGTGGTGCCGAGGGGGGAACTCGGCTTGCCGGCGCGCGGCGTGCGGGGAGAGGGGCAGGCGGCGTCTGAACCACGTCTCTAGTTCGCTAGTAGAGGCCCGCCGTGAATTGTGCAACGTCAGCAGGCGCGTGCGTACAGACTTACCCAACTTCACTACAAAAACCTCGATACAACACTTGCGTCCGCGATTATGCGAACATCAAGTTTTCACACAAACTCGTTATACTTTGCCCCGATGTTACTTTATAATTATCGTGGGATACGAGTCGCTTCCATTAACAGTTTTTTCGTTACTCTAGTCAAGGCTGGCGCTGTTTTTATCACATTAATAATTGGCTAATATTGTCTTGTAAACGTGTGTTGCACGTTCAAATGATCATAAAGCTGTTAAAGTCTGCGGTTTACCTGTACAGGAAATTCCTGGCAATTATGAAACCGACACTTGAACAACGTAAGCAAAGTAAACAACTACATAGTTGGAATCGTTACAAATGTTGAACGCGTGCCTTGGACAAGTTTTATCAACAAGAACTGTTGAAAAACTTATTTTCAACAGTTCTTGTTGATAAAACTTGTCTTGTTCTCTTCTTCTTGTTCTTGCCTTTCAGTAGAAAATTGTCATTAAAAACAATCTAAATTCAATCTTGAATTTTCGATTTTAATCAAACAATCTTTAAATGATATAAATCCACGCGCACGATATTTTAATATTGATGTGTTTGAATTAAATAGATGATCTAATAGTGAAGAGGCAAGCAAACTGCATTTAAAATATGGCACTTGCTTGATACTTATCTCACGAAGGATTTCTTCTACAATGTTAAAAATAACGCAATGTTCTGAATAAGGGTAATGGTAAAAGGAATACAAGCAGTGCAGATACATTAAAAACTAAAGGTACTAAAGACTAAAGACAGATAAATAAACAAATAAAAGCAAGAACAAAAGAGATCTTAATCAGAGACAGAGACATCTGTGTAAACGTGATCGTCTCCATCGTATGAGGTAGGTGAGAATCAAATAAGAAATTGAACAAATATTAAGATTCTAGATTTCTTGGTGTTTCGTTGGACTATATTTTTACAGTGGAATTAACCACAATATAATCTTAAAAGTAAACTCTTAGGAGAAATTGCAAAAAAACTTTTAAACACAAGTTTTCTAGAAACTGCTATAACGTTTCCTACGCATGCATTCCGGCCATCATGTTTAGACATGTTTCCGGTAATAAAAAATAGTCGTAAGAATACAAAAGTTGTTTCTTATTGACCAAATCAACCTTGTGATTTAGTGGAAAATTTGAACTACCTGCATACGGATTTAAATATAGAAGATGATGGAACACATAAAGTACAATGCCATGGGGAGTGCTTCAAGGTATTGTTTGGTTTGATCTTTGATGATTATCATTTCGCTATCGTGCCACGCAGCAGCATTTCTATCCCCATCTCATCTATCTCATCAATAGATGGCTGGCAGAAAACAACTGTGAGTTTTTTCGCGAATCTTTCTGCCTCCGGCATGACCGTGTGGAGTGATCTTTCGCAATATTTCTGACCGATGCGACCTTCAAAAAATGAGTTTCCTCCTTGAACTGCCAGCTATGAACTTGCGATTCCTCTAGAGTTGTATGAGTCAGCGGCGTTTGGCTTCTGTTCCATAAAAATACTATGGTTTCCCAAAAGACTACTGGATGTGTCTAACGTGCAAAGTAATCGAAATACATAGGATTGTTACATAAAAAGTACATCTTCCTAAGTACAAAAGTAATACAATTATTGATTTTAAAGCAAAATATTATTACCAAACGATCTCAGGGTGCCAAGGTGAGGTGTACAACACCGAAAGAATGTTAATACAATTAGAAACGACGATAAGAATTAGCGTGAAGAAAAATCAATGGCGGACATTTCCTGCTATTGTCGAGAGACTACGTTACGGAGTTTATTGTCGATTAAACCGTATCATCTTACGTAAAACCCAGTAGCAGATTTATTTTGAGACTATCAATAATCTTTGACTTCTAGAATTGAACTCACAGAAGCAAAAGCAATAAATTCTCAATGTCATTTCAAGTTGATCTAAAACGTTGAAGAATTGCAGATTTTTACTGCATGGATGAAAATAACTCTCGTCTGTCTGTAGATATTTTTGTCATCCTTTAAATGTATTCATATATACAAGGAACTTAGAAACCCTTTGTGTTAAACAAAGTAAATTCATTGGCAGACATCCACACGTGTTTTGGACTTTCTTCCATTGTTTTAGTTTTTTATTTAAATCCAACCACCTGTTTGTTAGCATAGACATTTTCCAATTTCCTCTTCAATGGGAGGCATTTACGTACCTACTTTTTTCAAGTGTCAAGGTGGAAGAATGAATATTTTGTCAACATTCACCGTTGGCGAATTAGTTCCAGCTTGTGCAATTACATCACGCGAAATTATGGCAATGTTAGTCGTTATCAGGGCTACAGAAGGTCGAGGCATACACGTGGAAATCTCAGTCGCTATGGTGACTAGTTATAGCAGTTGCATAGTACAAAGAGACCGATAACGAAACTATTTTTATTGCTTCTTGCTCACACGGTTTTGTTACTAGCAATAAAACGATACCATGTTACCAAGTTCAATTTTAGTATATTTTTTGCAATCAAAACGTTTTAAGGAATAATATGGAAGTAAGGATTCTAATAGGACATTTTCTGTTGGTTTAGTCTATTTTATTTATTCTTTATAAAATAATGATAATGTTTAATAGAAAACCAAAAACTAGAAAATCTAGTTTTTAAATAGAAGAATAGACATCTGTGTGAGTTCATAAGCCGAATATAAATACTAGACACACTGGTAACATTAAGCATAACTTGAACAACAGAGACATCAACAATAGCGAAACGGCTGTGTTGGCCATTATATAAGATAGATTTTCATACAAAGCTGTAGAGCTGTAGAGCTCAATTGCAGAATTGCTGATTACAGCTTCGCATGCTGGATTTTAAGTACAAGATGTACAAAGGATGAAAAGAGGAAGAGCATTGGATTCGTTATAAAGAGAACAGTTAGGTTTCTTGTAACGCTTTGGCTGGAGGTGTGGTGGGCGTTGGTGCGATTCCCCGCCCACGTTTTTCGCCTACAGTCGCGTAGTCGGGCGCCACTGAAATATATTGTGACGTTTTGCATTTGATAATGCCGACATAGTTACTCGCACTATTTTAAAGCGACCTCGTTTTCAATGAAACTAGATTGCAAAGAAAAATTTCCGACGAATCTGCCGATTCATAGAGATTTTATAGCCGCATTAGTTGACCTTTACACATAGGTTTTTAGTGGCAACAGTCTTAAATCTTTTACATGAATACAACATAATTTGACACTAAAATCGAGGAAGTGCGTCAATGTCAACAGTTTGTTAAGTTATGGAATAGAAACATTGAATAAATGAATAATTGAATTCTCCATTTCGGATTGTCCTTGACACTTTACAAAATTTCACGTGTAAGAATAGGAACGCGTTTACAAGCAGTTTATTTCCAACTGCCACAATGTGGATAATGTTGTTTTTGCAAAATATGACAAGAGGTTATCTGGTGATATAATTAAGTTTATTCAAATAAATAATCGTATGTTTGATATCCGACATATTAACATATATATCATTCATACAAATTATGCACTTTGTAGGTAAGAGCGATAGGTTATCTAAATGTTAATCAGTGATTAATATGATTTCCAACGAAACTTAGTCTTTTTCGCAACTTTACATGTATTTATTATCAGTTGTAGATGATTCTAGATTATAACAAATCTGGAAGAATAAACATAGAAACCCCTCATGAAATGAAAATGATGGCAAAGAGAAGCGTAAGTACCGTAAATCCCGAAGTACTTAAATTGGATAATTGCAAAAGCGACAAGTTTCCGTGGCTCGTGTAATTTAGGTAACTCAATCCCATTATAAGTACGGCGGTCGCCAAACTGACACGCCTAAACTAGTCTAGACGTACTCGGGAGTGAATTAGGGCACGAAAATCAATAAAACCAGAATCCATTTATAGTCCCACGCCAAGTTTCTACGTTAAACTCGTAGTAAATGTTTACTATCAAGTATTAACGGTGCAAACAATACTATTGCGAACTTGTTTCACGATTCGATACTCATAATAGGTTTGTGACTTAATCTAGACGTGAGGTAATTTTTTTTTTTTTGTTTAAATAAGAACATAAGAAAGTTCTGACATCCCTGTTTCTGTTATTCCGGTGTTTGTTTTCTACTTAGCTCTATGTATTTTCAACAAACTATGTGTTCTTACCTCCGGAACACACAATTTGCTAGAATTTAGCAAATTTGCCATTATTATGTCTTTCACACAGATTCGCACATATTTTTGAGCATATTCAACTTATAGATAGATAAACGTATGTACCTATAATTTGAACAAAGTAAATACACATTTACAGTAATCTATTTTATTATACAAAAACAAATGATTATTTAATCGCTTGCGTCAATTACGGTAACGCGTTACCTCTGCTTGACTCTTGCGCACTGCAATAATCAGACCACCACAGAACAGTTCAAACACAAACAATTTTATTGTGAAGATCATTGAGGTCAATAGGAGAATGATTTTATTTATCATTTGTTTAAAAACAACGCCTCAGCGCTGTCTGATCAAACAGTACGACCTGACAGTCTTTATCTATCATAATTCCAAATTACCTTCCATTGCTAATGCGCTTGATGTTGGGTCCAAAGATCATAGAGGTATAAACAGTTATAAAAAGGCACAACAGACTTATTTACATGGCCTACTAGGATAGTGAACCCATAATTCACATACGGCTGATCTTCAATCAGACAATAACGTTTACGATGATGCCAATCTGTTGCATGTGCAGAATATTAATGAGGATCGCGTTTATACTCACAGTACCGAGTAAGACCAACGTTAGGCAGGTGCACATCTCAAAGGCCACTTGATCGCAACTGCATTTGGAGTCTCGCTCGTCATTTCCGTCGTAC